CCCCAAAACCCCAAAACCCCAAAACCCCAGATATACGGTTAATATCTTATCAGCAAATTGTATATTATATATCAAATTTTATCATATTTTCTTATAACTTGCATAATATTTGGGAAGAAATTAATAAAAATTTTATAGTAAACATGAACGAAAAAATTAAAGCTGTAATTGAGAATAAAAAATAAAATACCTTTTGGAAAGCCATATCTAAGCATATAAAAAGTGCAGATAAATTTGGTCATCCAATTTAGTTGAAGTATAAAAATAGATCTACATATAACACGCTATTCGGTGGGATTATCACCCTTATTGCTCGACTAGGCATTTTCATCTACTTTCTATTGGCTATAATAGATGTGACTTAGAAGAAGAGTTTTGTGAAAAATTCTTTGGTAATAAGAGATTTAGCTTTAGATGAGACTGAGTTCAAAATTGATACTGATAACTTTGATATTGCGGTCCAATTAAAATATTCGGTTAATGATCCAAAAGTATAAAATAATCTTGGTGCATATGCTTATGTATCAGTGAACAAATATTCAATGCAATATATAATGAATAATGGTTCTCTCACATATAACCTTAAAATTGATCGTCTTAATCTAAGTAATAATATTGATTCTTTCATATCTTTTATAGTACCTTGTGAGGCTAATCGATTCTTAGGTGAAAAAGAGTAAACAAAAAAGTTAGGCATTACTAATTATTTCTATTGTCCTAAGACAATTAATGCTACTTTAAAGGGAAGTTTGTCCAGTTCATCCTCAAAGTTTATTACTGTTAGTGTTCATTGATGTGAAAACAAGACAATGAATTCTTCTTTGATAAATGGATAGCAAGTTTATGGTGATACAAGAGGGAATATAACTTGTGCACCATTGGAAGATATTGATAGAGTATTCAAGGATCTAGAGTTATATGTTGGTACTATTTATCAATTTTTTGACGATTAAGAGCATGTAAAGCACCCTATTAAGAATTCATTGAAAATGTAATACTTTACCACTGCTCCTTAGCTATCTCAAAATTATCAATTTAAGCTAAGTTTTAATTAGGTAAAAACAAAAGATTCCTCATTCTTCAATCTGAACTAATAAATCTATTCCTATGTAGGTATCTGACAAGATTATAGCTTTGTAAAAACACCGAATGAGATATTTCCCCCAATCAATGTAATGTTTTTTGTTGATGAAAATATGATGATTACTGAGAGGGAGGTGTTAACATTTTCTAATGTACTTTCAGCAACTGGAGGGTTTATTGAGACAATAAGATTGATTTGTGTCACATTGGTTTTGATATTTGGATAAGGTTAATTCGAAGCTTCACTTGCAAAAAGATTTCTAATTTCAGAACATAATAAAAGTAGTTTTAATTAATCAAATATACCAAAAATTATAAAAGGCTTAGAGTAAAAATCTATAGATGATATTGTTATTCCTGGGAGCTACAACAAAATATAAAAGACAGATAAAAGTGGAGATTAATGATATAACAAATAAGATTAATATAAAAGATATCTGACAAAGATCAAGTCAAGAAGTCCTCTAACATTTAATTTCAAAGATAGATTAAGATACCTTAATCTTATTGGCATTTTTTGCTGTAAAAACAAATAGAAAATAAGTAAATATAGAATTTATTAGCAAGCTGTTAAAAGAATAGATGAAAATTTTAATATAGAATATATATTCACGAAGCTTAGAATCTACCAAACAATGAGTGAAATTTTCATGAAAGACTATCAATTAGAATTAATACCATACTTTTAAAGGAGTATTATTTCAGATGATAAAATATAATATGAGAAATATTTCTAAAATAAACAAAATAATATTGACAGTATCAAGAGTTGGAAAGAAGTAGATAAATCTTAAAAAGTAAGATTAAAATAGTGTCTTTAAAACCTGATAATTGATGCAAAGATTAATCAAGAAAGCTAATTTATTTTGTAAATGCTTGATCCTAATCAAGGAAATTAACTAAACTAGGATAATTTGAATTTTACCAATCAAGATATTAATCTTACTCATTTTGAAAACATAAATGGACATTTTAGTCAGAATCATAAAGTATTCTAATCATTTGAGTAGAATGAATTAAACCTTTCTCATTTTAAAGATGATAAAACTTTAAACATTAAAAAACTTAAAAAAAGCAAAGTAATATAATCTGATAGTAACTTTTAATAAAAGTTTGTTCATTCAAATATTAAAGAATCAATTGATTTTGAAGAGATGCTAAATCAATTTGATCAAAACACTTTTACTACAATTAAGTGATAAGCATTTGATAAATAACTTCAATAAATAAATTTGATTTCATAAATTTTCTTGCTTTCAATTTTAACATTTTCTTGAGTAGCGGGGTTTTGGGGTTTTGGGG